GAATCTCTGGCTCTCTCAGAAATAAAAACATTCCACTTGGAAATCATCTGAATTTGATTGATATTTATTACAGGAGTTTTTAGATAAGAAGAAGAAGAAAATAGAGAAGATGATTAGTGATAGATTAAGACAAGATGTACAGAGAGATTCTAGTTCACAATCAACTCTCACAGACTTACAACAAATTATCTCTTCTATAAGTAGTAGAGCTAAATCAGATATTAGAACTAAAGGTTCTAGGTTTGCTCACACTGAAAAACTCTTATTCTCTAAGGTGGGTAATTAAACCTGTCATTGTTCAATATATAATAGTGATGAAGTGTTTGATTACTTAGGTTAGAATGAGTTCTTGTGTAACATTTCATATACTGTATACTTTTGAATATAGTGCGCACAATTAAACCCAAAGTTTGAAAAAAATCTGGACAAAAGAATTGACAAGTTTGCATAATGCAGATATAATGCTTTTAATAAAATTTTATTGAAAAAAAATAAGCTAAATGAATACCTAACATAGGTTTTAAAGACTATATAAATATAGTTTAGTTATAATAACATTTAGTCAATGCATTTTAAGTTTAAAGAAATCAGGAGTTTTGCATTAGTGACTAATACTTTATGAATTTTCTGCAGGATGAAGATAAAACTATGTCACAGATTGGAGGTGATGTACCTACCAAAGATACAGAAGAGGTTTGTACCAGTTATATTGTATCAAGATCAATGTACTAATTTAACAGTAATTATAAACAACTAGTCACCTAGATATGGGATTTAACAAATGCAAATAATACAAAAGAATGTCAAATTGACAGACTTAGTTAAAAAGTACAAGCACAAGCAATTCCCTTGAATGATGACTCTAAAGTTTAAAACTATAGTAAATATTTGTACATTTGATTATTCAGGAACAACAAAAAAAGAGAGAAGAAGAAATGCAATCATTAAGAGATGAATTAGGTGATTTATCATCTAAATTTGAATCATTAGAATTAGAAATAAAGAAATTCAATGCTACACAACAACAGTTAGAAGAAACTATAAATAAAGAATTAAGAGAGAATGAAGAAAAAGAAAGTTTATATAATGTTAAAAAGAAAACTATGGATTTATTACCAGATGCTGATAATAATATACTCAAATTACAGGTCAGTGTTTTAATGAATAAGGTTTCAACTGTTTGTACTCAGATTTTAACTACAAGACTCAAATAATGGAATGTTAAATATCTTTGGTTATTAAAGCATTATTTACCTGAATTTCACTTCAATTAGCTGGTTTTTATACATTGGTTTCAACGATTAAATGAAGCCACTCATGATAGATTTTGCACCAAATATTTTTTATATTTACAATTGCAACTACTGTGTTTCCATTCTTCATTGCTTATACTGTGAAATCCTTGAGGTTGCTCAGTTGGTGTTCTGTACGTTTGGGATTCAAACCAGAAAAATTTAAATTTGACATACCGATTGATTGACAGCATAATTGGAACAGTCAGAACCTGTTCAGAACTCTTCAATTTCTGCCCCAGATTTTGTGTCAATGTCCTTGATATTGTAGTTGACCCTATCTAACATATAGATTTTCATGATAGACATTGATTTGTTACAGGGTGTAGTTGATACAAGTTCTCAGAGATTGGTGACCCTAGCTAATAAATGGGAGGCACATAGAGCTCCATTAATACAACAATATAGAGAATTAAAAACTCTTACTTCATTAAAAGAGGTTGGTATTCTTATATTATTATTCTTGTCAATTTGTTAAGGAGAGACTTTCAGAGCACAGAGTTGAATGTATTTCACCGATACAATTTGGTACATTTATATATACTATGGAGACGTCAGATTAGTTTTATCTTATGAAGATTGTTAATGAGATAGACAGATATACGTTTAACTGTATAACATTGTCTATATTTCAGTCTGAAGCCCAGAAGAAATTAGAAGAAATCAAAGCATTCCGAGATAAAATGAAAGAGGTTGCTGATGAAGTTAGAAATAAAGAAGATTTACAAAAACAATATGTAATTATTGAATATATACTAAATTCTCCCCACGTGGAGCTCGATTGAAGAGTTCTGAACAGGTTCAGTCTGTTCCAATTCTTCCCCCAATCAAACAGTATGAAAGCGGATTTGTCACATTCAAAATTGTTCTTTCTACTTTCTTCTCTGCCATTTTGAATTCTGTCTGCACTACTCTTTTTTTCAACTTAGTTTATTAAACATTAAGTTCATTCCATAAATTGAGCAGCCCCCTAGAGACAGTTGGCTATCATCAAACATTTTGTCTCACCTGCTGTAAAATATTTTTCTTCAGTTAATCTGATAAAGACTGTTTGTATATTTGTAGCAAGCAGAATATGAGCGAATGACCAAAGATGTAAATAGATCAGCCTACACCAGAAAAATATTAGAAATTGTGGCCAATATAAAAAAACAGAAAAAAGAAATAGACAAGGTGGATATTTTATATTTATTTATTTAAGGGTTTTAAAAGGCATATTTGGGTTTGTATGTGTATTTTACAACATTCCAAATGCCAATTATTCAATCCTAATTGAATCATAATGAAAGCATTTTTCTAAAAGATGTGAAGGAATTATTCAGTAGTAAATGAAGGTGTGTAATGAGATTTAACTGGCTTTCTGTGAGTGAAGATCTCAAATTGAATATGATTTAAAACAAATATGAAATGTATATTGTAGGTACTAGTAGATACTAAACAGATACAGAAAGAGATTAACTCACTATCTGGTAAATTAGATAGAACATTTACCGTTACTGATGAACTCATATTTAGGGTAGGTGAACACAAAGCCAGTTTTAATATGACAGAACTTAACAATTTCATTCTGAAAAACTGATGTCTTTAAAACCAATATCATAAATCACATTGTTTTGTTTTCTCCAGCCTTTTAAGGATGCTACATCACTTAACTTTGTATAACTATGCATATAAAAGTGCAAAAATTTGTCAATAGCAATTTTCTCAGATTGAAGCCTTGACATTTGATGAACCTATATAACTACATATTTGATTAAGGACTAGACATTGTATTGATATTGAATAATATAATATTGATATTCTGAGTATATGATTGATTTCCAACTGTTATTATTATAATCAATATATTTTAATTTATTCTATTTTGACAGGATGCTAAGAAAGATGAAGCAGTAAAAAAAGCCTACAGATTTTTAGCAGCTTTACATGAGGTAAGAAGAAATATATATGCTACAGATTTATATAATATTAATTATATTAATTCTTATTTCTAACTGTCAAGAGATCTGATGATCAAATACAAATCGAGCTGGGATTGAACCCAGACCTAAAGATTAGCAGACGATTGGATAATAGTTAATACAGTAATATTATAATATACAAAATTTCTCTATTTAACTAGAACTGTGAGTTATTAATAAAAACTGTAGAAGAAACTGGTGTTATTATGAGAGAAATTAGAGATTTAGAGGATCAAGTAAGTGGATTGTTTAAGTTATTTCTAGCTCTTTTTAAGTATCAAAATTTCATTGTAGGATAACTTAATATCGATTGGGACAAATGATAGATGTTGTTGCTCATATCAGTTGAACAATATTTCCAAAAAAGTTATTATTATCTGTACAACTGAATTCAGTCTATATCAGTGTTTTTTAATGTTTCACCACAGCATTGTAGCTGTTATATTATTTAATCTTTTCCCATGTCATTTTGATATCGCCAATAGTTTAGGCAAAGAACTAGCTAGTTTACAGGTTCATTGAGAACCAAAGTTGTTAACCATGTAGACATTCTTATGGTTCTTTCTTCTTGTGTATTTTGAACATTTGTTGAGTAATTTTAATGCTTTCAATTATGATTATCAATTGCTTATTACAGATTGAAAATGAAAGTGGTAATAAAGTACTGGCTAATCTGGAAAAAATTACTCAAGATTATCAAGAAATGAAAAAAGAAAATACAGGTTTATTGAGTAAATTGAAACAAAAATAAAATACATAGAATTATATGGCCTATTTACAGTATGTAATGTGGTGTATGCAGGCTTCCATGTTAATAAAACGATGAACTATGTATTAGTATTGACTTATTGAAAATCTTTCAAATCTACCCAATTCCTTATTAATATAAACTTTAACCTTTTAAAACAGCATGAGAGGACAATAATTACTTATTATATTTTGTTATATTTAGCTCAATGCTCATCCACCGCAATATGTACATAAACTTGTTATATTTTTTTATAAATCATATTTATTTTCACCTATATGCCGGTTTAAAATGCACTTTTCAAAGAAAGAATTAAGATTTGAAAAACATTTAGAGGCAAATCACTCAGTTAAAGAGCTAAAGATCAATTTTGCTGCTTGTTGAAGATTTGTTTTGTACAAAATTATGCTGAATTAAGAATCTAATATTGATTCAATCTTAAGAAGTTCTTCTTTTAATGTGCATAGACACTGATGGCATAGATTTGCACCATTCCAATTTTTAGATGTCTTGTTATTGCAATGGACCATAGATGTTAATAGGGGCTGGCGCAATGGTGTTATCAAAGAACACTTTAAAATTCAAAAATTTTCTGAATTATAATCCCTTTAAGAGATCAATAAAGATTATATTGAAAATGTACATGAACTCTGTATATACTTAATATATTTTATAAAGGTGATTAAAAGTCAAGTGTAATTATCATTTACCCACGATTAAATACATGTTGTTATTTAAGTATTAAATACAATGTAGAATTGATACAGCTTTATATTTGAGAGAGGTTCACAAGTTTTCCCAAATGTAATACTTTATGTATATAGTAGGGGGAATCTTCAAATCTTTCAAAGTATAAGCCATTATTTCACCTCTACCATTATCAAAACCCCTACAATTCCACAAAAAATGTTTTATCTTATGAAAACCATATATTTCTCAGAGTTCTAGTGAAAGTAATTTTCTCACATGAATTGGGTTAATTAATGAAGACTGCTCATATAAATATCTTAAGTATTTTTCTAATTTACAAGAAATGTACAGACATTACAATATCAAGAATCAACATGTAAAACTGAAATGGAGCATTACATCCCATTTTCTGATAGTATTCTGATCTTTAATACTATTAAATAATAATATTTCACATGGAATACATTAACATTAAGTCAATTTATGATTACAATTTCCATGACAGAAAAATGAAAAATATTTTTGAATTAAAGAGATGTGATTGAAGGTTGTTGTTTGGTAAACCCTGATACAAACTGAGTTATAACTGAAATATATATAAACTATAATGAGATAATATCCAAGCCAGTTTTGATTGATAATAAAACTTTGTACCTTTCAAAAACTCTTCAAGAAAGCAGCACCACAATTAAAATTTATAACATTAAATATTCCAAACTAATTCCCTGAAGACAGATCATTACTAAATAGTTTCACAAAATATAATTAGTAAATATATGGACTGACTGGCACAAGATCAGTCGATAAAAGGTCTTAATTGTGTAAGTGCCTTCCATAGCAAGAATTTTGTCTTCATCATTCATTATAACATTTTAGAAGACAACATGGAATAAATGAATTTTGAATATTGTACAATTATAAATAGAAACTAATATAACAACTAATGCTATTTTACTCCTTTCATATTCCATAAACCATCATTTAAAAAGTGAAGATTATCAACGCCTATACCTTTATTCTTAGATAATCTGAAACAAAAAATTGAAAATTATATACCAGGGACACAGCAAGAAGATTTTGGGCTTTTTTAAATACAATTTTTCGTTTGGTTCTGAAAGTATTCTGATGCCCCTAATGTATGTGTCGATCAAACCAGTTTCTAAATGGGTGTCGATTTCCCATTCACACTGATATTTCACTTAGAAATAGGATTTAATTTCCAATACTAGATTCTAGAGGTTTTGAACAAAGAAACCAATAAGAAAATTCTGATGCTTATTCAGTAAAGCTCATCTTATGCTCGTGTTTGGATCTGATTAGCAGATAGTAACTGTATTAATTACAAGATATTCTTATAAATATTATAAAGAAAATTCTTAATACTTACATATCTTCTGTAGACATTTTAGTTAAGCCTACAGCTACAGCATGTTCTTTACCTTCAGCCATTATTGCCTGAGGTTACGATAAGGAATCATAATAAAAACACTGTAGCTTTATTAACTGAACCAGTAGCTGCTCAAAAAAGCTCAATGGTACAATGACAGGTCTCTAATGAATAGATAAATTTAATAACTCAACAGTCTAACAACAGTGGTATATCTTTCTCTCCAAACATGAGAACAAACAGTGTATAGGGTAAATAATATCAAGAAAGTAACTAGTATTTGAAATTTGAATTAGCAGCATAAGAGCTAGGTTTATCTTCATTGGGAGCATACCTGTAGCTACACTTATGCAGATAATATCTTTTCTAATATATCGAAACTAATTGCCATGACAATAACCTATTTTGGAAAGAAATTACTGGATTGAAGATTTTCATAATATTTTAGTGTTTGATTCATTTATAGACACAACCTTTACGATATGGAGATCTTGAAAATTATGAAATAAGAAGTTCTATGAATTTTTTATACCAATATTATTTAAAAGGATACCACAACTTTGTCAGCATCTACTTTAGTCATTCTAGCTCCTGGTGAAGTTAGACCCGGACACATTATATTAGCACCACTTAATACAAATCTTATAGCACCTTTATCTACCTGCATGTGAGGTAGGATAAATGGGTCTGAAAGAGAAATAAGAAATTTGAATCAAGCTGTGTATTTGATTCCATGTTTTTAAATGGTTTTACAATTATTTTGTGCTGTTGGTGTTTTTTTAATTCACAGTGGAGTAACTTGTGCAGTAGACAAAACCAAAATAAGTTAATTAAATGAGAAACTGATGATCTATAATGACCTAGTCAATTGTCTATGAATCAGAATGTGCAAATATTCTAAAGATTTCTTGTTAGTCCTTAATACTATTGTACTAGTGTACATTTGGTAGAATAAAAGAATAAGATACCGTACTTACATTTGTGTAAAAGACGAAGGGTAGGGCAATATGGTCCATCTCTGTGACGGAAAAACAACAAATCTCCATTTTGAGCAGCTATGACTTCTATATGATCATGGCTGAAATTAAATTCATATAAAATATTAAATGATGAGTTTATTATCATAATTTTTTTAAAATATTTCCCCATCTTTCAATAAAAATTTCTGATGCGTATCATTGACTTCAAGCATAGTTTCTTCTTTCACAATCTCAATTATAATTTTAGTTCCTTGACACCATTCAAAAAAATCTCCTGATTTAATAAATCGGCATGAGAGATGCTTGTTGAGTTAATAACAGAGTAGCCGAAATCAAAATATTTCATTTCAGTTAGTAAGGCTTACTTTACTCACCATTTAACAAGCTTGATAGCTTCTTTTTTGCCTATGATTTTATCTAAATAAGTTGCTACATGTGGATATGATTCTAATAAAGAATTTCTTACTCCTTTAACAACAGAAGACTTGGCATTATTTACACCCGTTACAGATTCTTTATCATCAAATCTACAAAGTAACACATGGGTATTCATCATTCTACACAGTCGACTTCAAATAGAAATATTATTACAGTAAACTGAAATCTAATATAACTTAACATGTTAAGTACGGCCATTTTGGCCTGTTTCAAATCAGAGAATAGCAAGATTTTGAGACATCTAGCCTAAATGGTTTTAGGCCTACTTTTTTATTTAAAAAATAAAAGTTATATTGGCTTGGCACACACAGAGCAGACAAACTACCGACAGTAACATGGTAAGAGTAGACATAAGGTAGGGATACTACCATATACATAATTTGATTAGGACTAGATATTAAGCATTTAAACCAATTCATAACTTATACAGTCAAGTAATCTAATTTCGTGGATTTCCGGAAATGATTAATAATTTACGTGAGCGACCTTGCGCGACCTCCGCATTAGATTGTTTTGATAAACATGGCTTTTCTCTACAATGTCAGCTAATAGAATGAAACCAGTAGTTTCAAGCAAGGTAAAATGTATTAATGTATACTTTGACAAATACAAAATGGCGGATTTCACTTCTTACCAAACGTCACCATTTTTTATCGGTCAGATTTCCTTTAAACAATAAATCACGCTACATATCTTATTTTTTCAGTCACTATTTCTTTTTTAAAATCGTGGTTCTTTGAAGGAATTGTCACTAGTTATATTGAATTGATATTAAAGATAAATACTAAGAGAAGTTAATTATACCACCCGGTATCCATACAACGTGTTTTTCTTGACTTATTTATAGATCAAACATTGTACATGAAAATAGGTTACGCATTCTGCTGCAGTTCCCGAGTTGGTTGCTCATGAAATATGGGTCAAAGGGAAGGATTCATAAAGAAAATCGAAATAAACCAATTTTAATTATTTTGTAGAATATCTGAGGAAACATCTAAGATATAAAAAATAATTTTCGTTTTTTTAACTTTGACGAAATTCGCTGTTGAATCCTTATATCCACGAAAATAGGTTCCACCACTGTACTGTATGGTACCGGTAAGGAATTGTCAGTGTCAGTCTGTCTACGAAAGTGTTTACATTTTCACAGTAAATAAATGAACTATTATTATAGGCCTAGTGACAGATCTTCAATTATCCAAAACAATTACAATTACAGTCAACAAAACAACAATATAAGAATAAAATACCACCTACTTTTTAAACATTATTGTGGAATATTCTCTTAAATGTGGAATAGTGTCTCTGGAATCAAAACATGCCTTCCCAATTACCAGAAATAGGTTTAGCAATGTCGTAAAGTTAAATTGGATTTGTCTCCCTTTAACAACATAACGCTTGCTTAAAAATGTGGATGAAGGCGATAGAGCCCATGCAGCAGAAAGTAAAACTATTAAAATAGATTTAGGTGACAAGAAATCTCAAAGCAACCTACCTCTTCATAAACCACACTGAAATAAAGCATACTATATGCAGCCCCGTCGTTAGGGTGGGGCCCGTGGGGTTGGACCCCAGCAAGTGAGAATTAAGCCCCAGCAAAACCTTCGTCAGAGCACCAGAGATTGATTCATTTACAATGTATTTGTACAAAATCAAAAAGATATAGATTTTGATACGTTTTTGGCACCTCAAAATTGTCAATTGTCAGTTTTCTGGGCCTTTAATTCTTCAAATTACAAAATCTGAACCGCAGGCCCAGCACCAATTCATTCCTAGCGACGTGGCTGCCTTTAAAGCACCAGGGTGGAGCCGCGGTGGCTCAGTGAGTTGCTCGCTAACCTGAAGGTCAAGGGTTCAATCCCGGCGTAGGTCGAGATTAAACCTTCGGATTTTTAAATTTTAACCCTGTTTCCCCCTGTCAGTGATGCAGGTAAGAGGGGCTGAAAAAGCGTCTAGTATGTTCGGATAGGACAATAAACCGAGGCCCCGTGTGCTACAGGCTGTGCACGTTAAATATCCCTCGACAGTTGGAAATCGAAAAAGAGCAGGCTAATGCCACTGTCCTGGCAAAATTTCCCTCATCGCACCCTGCATGGCGTTGCCCGTCTTCATTAGCCCACATGGTGCAGAAAAGTAGGACGTAAAACACCATTCATTTCATTTTAAAGCACCAGGGGAGACTAGGACTAGTTGTAACACGGGTTAGTTGTAACAAGCCTCATAATTAATAACACACAAACTCTACAGTTATATAGAGCTATATTGCCAAAGAAGATGGTGTAGCTATTTACATATCTGAAAGAAGGTGGACTTGCTTAGAGAACTCGACTGTAAAAAACATGTTTATCAAATATGAAAGTACAATTTTAGATAGCATTTTAAATCTATGTCAAAAAAAGGAGGCATTATTGGTAGTAGTCCGAAACATCTGCCTCTATTCCAGCCTCTGATGGTTATTTTGACAGTTGTCAGCTGGAGTAGAGACAGAAATAATAAGCCCTGTTAAATTAGAACATTTGGTATCTTCGCAGGTGCGCGGTTTTTATACCTAGTTAGATACCTCGGATTTGCAAAACCCAGGTATATTTGGAAAGATCAATATTTTTGTAGTTCAGTCATACCATCATTTTCTCCCTACACCATTTATGTCATGTCTCCGGTTCCTTCAAAGTTTTTTTCTGGCAAAACAGATCTAGTATCGGCCATTTAAAACTGCGTGCGCAGCCAAAAGTTCAAAGGTCGCGTGATACTAACAATAAGTTACGGCGATGCCCTACACTAATTTACAATCATCTTAAAGGTAATTCAATACTATGGTATAGAGTAAACGTATCTTTGGAGGTGTGGAAAATCCCCATTTCACTTGGTCTTTTTCTTCTGACTCTACATCAGCTGACATATGTCCAAATAGCTGTCTGAGGCTGGAATAGAGACATATGTTTCGGTTTATATTGGTAGTATCTTTTAACATTGCTTCTTTGATTGGATGGTGATCTGACGCTGTTCCACTATTTATAAATGATGGGCGGGAGATTTAAAATGAGCAGGTGGTTTGGGCTAAATTGTAACATTCTTCGTGGGGTAAGTTGTATCTGTGTTAAGATATGACTAGACTAGGCTATATTTCTATCGCAAAACAGGTGGAAAGTGTTCAATTTAAGCACTGGCCAAACGAAGATTTTATCAACAGAGTGACTCCATATTGTCACAATTGTGACTCGGACGAATCTGATTTTGCAATTTTAAAAATCATCTTATGGTTTGAATGTAATTCTTTCTATACAAGGAAATTATGAAAGCTTTAATTGTTTGTTCTGAAATGAGATTTGTAGGCTACTTGTTTAAGGTCGTAACCAGTTCCTGGTAGCCCTTATAGACACCATTTGCCATGACAAGTGTTTTATTGTTAAGTTACATTTTACCCCGTGGTCTGTTACAATTTATAATTTACAGGTTTTAACAAATGAAAAAACACAAATCACTTTTCTTAAATTGAAGTTTTTGTAAAATAGCAGAAAGTATGAAAATTGTTACAACTAACCCCGATCTCCCCGAGGGTGTGTATTACATGCCGACATAAGAGATAGCAATTATGTGGATTTGCTGAAATTGGCACAGTATTCCACTTTTGCTTTCCAAACCAGTTAATTAAGCATGTCTTAGGATATTGACTATAGCATCAATATTTCTTTTGTGTGAAAGCCCTCTTTTCTTAAATTAAAATAACACGATTTGTGGAAACGTCGAAAAGTGGACATTCATTGGTTCTAGGTTTGGGCGATATTCCTATACAAGCTTATAGCTCTGCTTATGTAGCTATGTCACTTACAAACATTCAAGTTGACAAATGAGGAGGAGGAGTTTAACGTTCTACATTTCTGCACCTTATATGGACAAATGAAGACGCACAACGCCATTCAGTGCGCAATTGAGGAACATTTTGACAGGACAGCGGCATCAGCGTGGGTTACTCATTTTCGATTTTTAACTTCGATTATCAGCCCATCCGACCTGCATCACTGACGGGGTTGAAAAATCCGATGGTAATATCTACCCTCAGGTTAGCGAACAAGCACCTAACTCACTGAGGCACTGTGTTTTATAAGTAGACGAGTTTCCAAGTTAATATTGTAAAAGATGGAGCATGTTCGTTCTATACAAAATTTTATTTCAAACAAAAACATAATACAATTCTCAAGTAATACTATGCATAGTCAATAACAGCAAGCACCAATGAAATAAAAGCAATGAACAGAATATTTGGCATAGGCATAACAAGGAAATGATAACTTTGTTAGGTTGTCTTCCTTTTCTAAATTTAACATCAAAGCCAGTAAATAAATAGACAGAAACAAGTATACTGGATATACCAGCTGATAGCTTATAATTAAATTAAATATCACTTGAGCATAATGTCAGGGCGCCCATTTAACACAAAAGATAACAAACTGGTCTGTTTCTATTTCAACATATTTCAGCTTATTTTTGCAAAGTATTTACAAAAATAGTTGCGGTCGAAGGGCGAATTATAATTAACAAACTTAAGGTTCAAATACTTATACCAAAAATGATTTTAATACAAATTCTATAAGGTTGTGTTCCTATCTGTACCCAAAACAGTCCTTACAATGGATTATGGCATTTAACCTATCATCATTCCATCAATTGGATTCGCAATATTACAAGCATAATATATAAATACACTGTTAGCTTTCAGGACTATATTCGATGACAAATCGACAAACCAGTGGCAGAGAAACTTCTGGAATCATTCATTCTAACAATATAGGGTATTGGTATATATAGAATGTTCTTTCCAGTATTACGTGCAAATCATCATCATTTGGACATTAAGTCTGAGAATTATTTAATTCAATATTCAAAAATACATGTATAAGTAATAAAACATTAATGACACATATTTATATCACAGAATATGCAACAGTCATAAGCGATTCTTGTCTGGTTTTCTTTGGTGGGTTAAAGGCACTAGTTGTTACGTCTGAAAAAATAAAAATGAAATCAAAATATAAACAAACACAGTGATAGATTTACCCCGTTTTTAATACTTGCTTCTTTATTCAATGTGGAAACATTTCTTCAAAGACAATAATTTTGCTACCTTTCAATCTAACGTATAATTTTGAATATTATGCGCAATCATGTATCATACGCAACCTTACACTACCTATTATATACCTGGTAAGATTCGCCTGAAATGACAAACCTTATTATAGACCATTTGATTTAAATCACAATTTCTTTATTTTAGTCTACCCCCACATAGACCCCTTTATAGAATAGTTTCACCAATCTCAGTAAGTAAAATGTATTTTCTTCTACTATCTTCGCAAACTGTCAGATAAATCGATTTTACCGGTTATATTTACAAGAATTTAAATACCATCTTCAATATTCGTTAATAAAAATATACATAAGCATACACAAGAGTATCAGTACTGAATCTGGTAACATAGTTAATTTTTACCTTGTGCACAGTCGTTGAATTGGAATATCGGGTGCTATTCGACAAGCAATCGGTGGACAAGAACATTTATATTGCATACATGAAGTAATTGTGTCACATGATCATGCTGTCATATCATTTATCATACTTACGGAAGAGCAATCTAATAATAAGTATGATACAAGTTTATCTGGACGGTAAGAATGATATTTCGAAACCTGTCAATAAATTAAATTTCATAATATTAATACCAGTATAAAGTGTTCTTAAATTATACAGAAATGTATCAAATTTACCACGCTCAGCTAACGTAGAGGTATCGGACAATATTAGGTTATTGTTCCTTTGGTCAGGAATCATACGAAATTCTCTTTTAACTCTCAGGCTTATTACATGGTCATATATTCCTAGCATTCCCATTTACTATTTGTCAAACAACAGCATTCGAAAAAAAACCCATCAGTTGTCCCTATAACTCGGCACTCTCAAATCAGTCTAAAAAAATAAATTACCTGGCATTGAGTTGACAGTACAGATAGTGATGTCGGTATCCAGTTTCAGTCGGTTATGTCCACCGTCATGGATCGTTATATTTACCGTTTACTGAAATAAATGCAATAAGACATTCTATTTGAGTCATTCAATGGATTTAAGGAGCAAGAACATCCTATTCGGTTTATGATGAAGCTTCATATGAGAAGGGGTTTGTTGGTCCCTAATAAGGGACAGGGTGTCTCTTACTGTAACACCATAGTATACCAGTTCTGCAGTCAATAATTGTGGATCTTTGTAGTGTGCTTCGTATATATATATTTACTATACATACCCGTAAATAAAATCAATTTCTTACCAGAATAATACATATAGTTGGCCATTGAACATTTATCATTCAACTGAAATATCAATGATAAAATTTGCAATATAATTTAACTGTAGAGAACTCTGTAATGAACGATTATCCACATCCGCCACCCCGACCTCACCCCCTTTGCCCTCTGATTTGGGCATTCATGTTGCCTGCAAAATATTACATTGTTAGTTAGTATCTATCATGAAGTTGAAAATCATGCAATGGAAAAGTCACAGCAATAGAATTCACACATTAATTGAAGAGATCGGTAACTTAATCCTATTAATAAGACAGATTCGCCATCCGTTTGACCAATGGTTCCTTATCTCAGCAATGGGATTTTCCTTAGTTGAGCCAATAAGTTGGCTAATAGTTTTCACACCTCACAGTCGAAATTTGAACCTACAAATCTATGTGTGTAAAGAATTATCCGCGTTTGGAAATTAAAAAGTTAAAATGACGACTCGTCTTTTCTATTTCCTGTCATATATAGAAAAGACATAGGCTACACATAAATAGAAAGTGAAATTTGAAGGTTTGAAGTATTTTTTTCTAAATTATGCGATTTCCATACATTTCTACTACTTCTAAAGACTATTTACATAAATTAAATACCAATTCAACCTCCAAAAATGTGGAACGTCTCTTTAAATATGTTAAAAACAGTATTTTAGCTTGAAAGATCAGGATCAGCTCCATAGATCATTAATATAAGCAGATCTAATATTTCAGTATGAAGTCGAACTTACAAAATTGATATTAGTTCTAACTGTTCTTTGATTAATCGGCTGTCTAGGTCGTATATTTCCCGCCATTAACATCTGGGGATTATTTCTACTAGCTTGATTTAACTTTCTCATTTCTTTTATCTGAAAATAAATCAGTCGTGTAAACTTTCATTATTTCCCTATGTAAACTTAGGTCGCGCAATATCATATAATTTACTATTGAATATCGCTAATTCTTCAAGCAAATCAGGACCCCATTTATACAGAAAATTTGTACGGCCTAAAGCTACAAAATTGAAAATTTCCATGTTAAAAATTTGAAATCAAAAAATATTTTATGCAATTGGCCCTTGAAACCGTTTCCCTTATCACATGAAATGGAAACTTACGTGTGGTTGTAAGTTAAACACCAAGATCTTCCAGTGGCGGAGCCTGGTTTACGTCCGAGAGGGGGGGGGGGGGGGGGGGGGGGAAAACCCG